TATAGTGCCTTACAGATACTAATGAAAATACGGAATGCGTTTAGGATTATATCGAAGCACTGGAGATTCGTGTTGAGAATTGCAGCCAGGAGAATGAAGAACTCAAAAAGCAGGTAACTTTGGACCTTCATATTATTTGTAAAAAAGGAAATGCGGTGTGTTCACGGCAACCGGCAAAGGTGGGCCAACAAAATTTTGGCGCTTAGTCAAAATGGCACTTTTTCCTAATTAATTTTCTCCTTTTTATTTCGAAATGAGCCGAGAGCTCTCGACGCCTGATTTGAGGATTTTAACAGCTGCGAAATTCTGTTGAAAAGAACCTTGGAAATGGATAAACTCGAAACGCGGAGGTCTGTTTTCTTTGCAGACGCGTTGAACGAAGGTTGAAGGAAAATCTCAAGAGACACTACAGTCAAAATAAGGCAAATCCGGTTCAAAGAAAGCGGAGTTTGAAGAAGTGCAGGAGAGGACTGTTGCTGTACTTTCTTATATTGGAAATGCAGAAGAATGAGTCGAATAGGTACACAGGACGTAGGTAGAAAATACACGAGTCCGTTAGCATGACGAGCCGACATTCTGGTACCTGTAATTTGTGTCAGTAGACAGCAGAGTCCTCTTGCAGTTATCAGCGAGGTGAGGTGTGATGCTCTGCAAATGAAATGTGGAAAGGCTGGAGGCAATAATGGCACTAACATCGAATTTGTCAGATCGGGGAGGCGGAATGAAATTTAAAAATCTTTCGCTTTTTCAGTTGGTACTTGAAATAACCAGTAGTTAAAAAGTGTCAAAATTGCTTCGCTGTACAAAGAGCCGTATTAAGAATGAGCAGCAGCAGCAGCAGTCAAGAGAGCACACTGGATTTCGGAGTAATTACAGCACAATGGACTACATTACTGCTCTTAACAAGTTGCAGGAACACTTGTATCAGCTTCCTCTCTGTCTCTTATTCGTCGATTACGAAAAAGCATTCGACAGCGTAGAGCTGGTTGTTCTGCTACGATCTCATGTATAGATGAAGAGATTGACCTAAAATTTATGAAATTTGTTAAGGAAACAAACGTAGGCTGTTAATTTTTATGCGTTTTTTGCAGCGATGCAATGCGAAAAACGCATATTGACGAGAGGTTGTCTGTGTGTGTGTGTGTCTGTGTGTCTGTGTGTGCGTCTGTCACGGTTTTTCATCTCAAGACCTACAAAAGCTACGGGGCTGAAATTTTGGGGACTTAGTCTACATGCACGTACGGGCCCCAGTCCTCAAAATTGGCGCCATACCCCGCGTGGTACCCGCGTACGGGCCCCCCAAAGTTTTTTTCGAGT